CTGTTCCTTACCCGGAGAATCAAATGTGAATCTTCTCTTCTTTTGATATGTCCTCGATAAGTTGTACAACACTGCTGTGGAAGAAAGAAGAATTATAAATATTATATAAATATATATATTATTATTATTATTATTATTATTATATGTGTAAGTTATAAATACGCGGATCTATATTGTATTTATAACTTATATGTTTATACATGCAAATATAGACACGTATGTAACCAGTCCACGGGAGTCCGTTATTCCGTTAATTAATCGAAACACACGCTCGAAGGCAAGTGCACTGCGTATATTTACGCAACGTCTTTAGGACGTCCTTGGGAGGTTCTAATTTTTTGATTTCAGGACATTCATTTTTACTAGGCGTTTACCTAAGCGTTTTTTTCTAGGCGATAACCTCTTGATATCATTTTTTGAGAATACAAGGTTAAATTGGTATAGCTCGGGATTAATGTTTAATATAATAAATTTAATGTAATTGCGTTCTCTTAGAAACTACTTGTTTTTACATTTAAAAAGAACGGTTATTTGCGTGCACTTGGCTCCTTTTTTTACCTTTTTTTTTTTGAAAAAGGTAATTTTTTCCTTTTTCCCGCAATCACGGTAAGCTCGTTTCATCGGTCACAAGCGAGGGGGTTGATCGCATAATTAATACACAGCCTGTTTACACAATATAATATATTGTCACAGTTCGCTCTTTATATATATATATATTTTTTTTTTGTTTCTTCCGCGCTTTTCTCTCGTTTCACGTGCTCAGATCCTAAGCTACAATTCTCTCCTCGCACGTTTTCGTCAAAACTGTAACGCGGAACAATGATGCATTATTTTACATGTCTCATCGTTTAATCGTCATTAGGTCTACGCCACAATAATCGACCGAGAAACGCACGCTCGTATTTTACAGGCTTCAACGTAAAACTTAATACAAAAAATTCGCTCACGTAACTATCGGTAACGGTCTCCTTCATTTTTCTCTATCTTTCTCATTTTCTCCCTACTCTCTCTCTCTCTCTCTCTTCCCCTCTCTCTCTCTCTCTCTCTGTCTTTCTCTCTCGTTCACTTAATTTTACCATCGATCAATTCATTGATGCCTTATTGTCACGAGTCAGAGTGCCTGCTGGTGTTTCGTATGCTACGATATGAAATGCTCGCCAACACCGGTGATGATCGGTGTCGTAAATTAACGAGACGATCGTTCAAGATTCTCGATCTGCAGCGTCGAGTGTTCTCGTATGACCGTTTTCGGTCCTCGACGCCTGTAATAAAATATCAAGGCCGCATTCATCAGTGCCAGTGAATGATATTGATGTGCGCGCGCCGCTTCGCCTTGAAAATTTGCGAAATCATTATTTAATTACTTGCATTACGCAACGATTTAATTATCTTGCAAAATTTACAAAGTTTACAAAAATAGAAACTGTCGCGCTGCATCGCGACACGATCGCGCAAAACTGTATTTTACAAATTCGCCAACGTAAACGTAATCGATGAAACTCGACGGTCGAGAGAGTTTCACAATGTTGCGTAATTACCACGCCTGCAGGCACCCTGAAGAGCATTGATGAGTGTTTGCGATCCTCGAAAGATACCCCGTCAAAAGTGTACACTAAACGACGAAGAGCTATGTAATTATCGCTTCCAGCGAGTCGGCGACTTTGTTGCGAGCAAACGTTCATGAGGGGGAAAGTTATTGTCTCACGCGTTATATCGAAGAACATTGTGACGTAACTATTTTACATTACTTCCAAAGAGTCTCCTTCAAAATTAACCATTACAGTCTCATAGATTATCTTACTCGGTTTTCTCTTTTTTTCTTCTTTTTTTTCACGACAAATTCTCGAATCGCCGAGCTGCCTCCTAAGCATGCACGACACTACGGTGAACTGAAAAGTCTGTAGGAAGTTAGGACGATTCGTCAATTAAGGGAGATCTCGTTTCAAGAGAACACACTCTCCGTAGAAAACGGTTTCTTGGTCCTAGGAGAATTCTATTACGGATTTGTACGAAGTGTGAAGCGATGCCGTTTTTCTTTCTTTTTCATCGGATCGACGATATTACCCGCGCCTGCTTCTTAGAAATGCAGTTTCTAAGGGTGCAAAGTATACAATGTGTGTATATATAGAAATAATAATAATGTTAATATAATATCGATAATAATACAATAATACTACCGCTACTATACATCGAGTAGAAACAACTATTATGTTGGAATTGATCCGTCGCGGGATTCAAAATAGGAGGAAAATGGTAAATCTCGGCGCTTAATCAATTTGTTCCTCGGGCGCGTTTTCTTTTTCTTCTCAAGCGTTTCACACACGTATATACGAAAAATCGAGACTCTACTTAAGTATAATCACGTCTTGAGAGGCACGAACGCGCTGTCGGTTTTGTAATCAATCCTGTCAACGGAAACGCATTTTTGTACAATCGATGGCGAGTGAATCTCTTTTTCTCTCTATCTCTTTTCTCTCTCTCTTTTTCGTTCCTTCCTTCTCCCCTCTTTCAATACTCATCGCACCGCACTCATTGTTAATTCGTGATCAATCTTGGAATTAGGAACTTAACAAACAAGCATATTTCTTACTCGTAGTCGTAATGATATATAATCGTCTTGCGATGAACTTGTCAGATCAGTCCGCAAGTTCACGACAAAATCCGATTAATTCCACTTGCTGTCTATAATTACACTGTGAATTTGTGCACGACAGATGACGCAAATAGTTCATCTCGGGGTGAACTGCATTTGGAGCATCTGTTGTTTTCCCCGCGACCTAAGTCGCCACTGTTCCGCTACGTTAACGAAATAAAAATTTTGTGATTAACTCAAGAAGACCTGCAATAGACTGAAACGTTTCTGTAAGTTAAGAGAATTTTTGTTTTGGCCTCTCACAGGCCAGGTAGTAACGTTTCCCGTTTCATCTTTGGAGCCGCATTTTGTAATTCTTCTTGTAAAATTCGATTAATTTTCCATACAGATAAAATTTTTCCAGACGAATTGCCGGAAAAGTGGCGATAAGATGTTACTGACATCAGAATAATAATGAAGGAACACCGTTAATTGTCAAAAAGAATCCGCATTCCGATTTGGTCGCGAGTTTTCTCCACGCGCGAACTTGCGGACTCGGAACTGACAGTTGACGCTTTTTCGACTGCGAAGCTCGCCCCCCGTTTATCTCCCTGAATTGCCTGAAAACATCGTTATCGCCGCTGTTATCCCGTCACCGATGCTGATATCCACGCACGCGCGAATTGAACGTGAATCGAGCCCGTTTCCTCACCCGAGAATCGTTCGTTTCGCGCGCGCTCAGCTGAAATTATCGCTATTTATCCGCTTCCTCCTCGGATAACTTCGCGATCTTTCTTCAATTTCTACTTATTACCCTCTTATATCACGTCTCTTCTCTCCTTCTCCCGAGAAGAGAGACGCGTCGGGCATATACATATATATACGCACGCACACATTGACACACACACACGCACACACACACGCGCGCGCGCGCGCGTTATCTCACCAGAGGCAGTAAAATGTAAAACTATCATTATGCGACGTTGTGACAATCGAGTTTCAACCCCGTCTCCCCTCTGTTTTTAACCCCTAGTCTCACTCGGAAATGCGGACGCGGTGGTTTGGTTTTGTTTCGACTCGGAAATGAACGCAGCTTCTCGACTCGTCGGAAGGAGGACGGTCTCGAGGCGAATGCGCGTCTCCTCGTCGAGACGAAGGGCTAAATCTCCGCACGCGGATTTCTCTGCTATAGGGATGCAAATTATATTCCAACGATACACATCGAAACACGCTCAGTGTGTACCTTTCGCGGCGAGAGGTGGCAATAACGCATATGTATATTCAGAGAAGAATATAAAATAATTCGTCGCAACTATGAATTTTGTATGTGGAATTAATGCATATAGTGTGCGTTTATTAAACTATTTTATTTAGTTTAGTCTACTAAGCTATATGCATTAAATCTACATAGAACATTTGTATCGCCGTCACTTTTACAGTTACCACGACTATATATTTTTCTCTGAGCGCAGCTGCTTCTACTTTTGCTGATCTATTTCCACTAAGAGCGCTCTAATCGTAAAGCTGCGCTGCGAAAGGAAGCGAGATACGTGATGCGTGATTACGACAGAAGGCTTTCGGCAAAAGGGTATTGAAATATGCGAAGGATAAAAATAGCTAGTTTATTATCTATGTAAATCACAGCTGTCTCATCGCCCTCCCCTACCCCCCAACTGTCCCCCCGAAATCTTCGCTTCGAAGGTGCAATGAATTCGCGGTGAAAGCTCGGATTACTGGACGATGAAAGAAGAAAGAAAAGGAATATATTTACATGTATATAGCTCTGTAAGTGGCTAACTGTGAAGAATAACGGGCATTTCAGAGGCTTAATTGTGGCTGTTGTAACGACGCATTTTTAATATTAATTATTGTTTGAAAATATGCGTCGAGCGTTTAGTGACGCACGTATCGGATTGTCCTCCGAACAAACGCACGCGGTGAATCAACCTCCCACGCTCAAATCGATCCTGAATCTCATATATTTCTTCAATTATCCTACCTAATTATTAAAGCAGGCACGGAGAAAAAAGATCGGTGAAATTAACGTAACAATGAACATGATGGAAACAGAATTTCCGCCTCACAATAGGAAAACATTTACAAAATTCTATGACGAAATCTTGCCTGCAATTACGTGGGTGTGTTTGCGGTACTTCAAAGTTTGATAAGGAAACAAGCGGTTTTAAAGCATAATAAATAAATAAAAATCAACACAATCTTTTATTAAATATCTACGCGCTGTTCGCACAAATGATGCGTGTTGCGAAAAATGCAGCCAGGAGGTCACCCGTTGTAATAATATGTCGCTGCAATAGCCGCGATTAAGCTCCGAAAGCGTCCGTTATTTTTTATAGGAAGGAATGTGTCACGTGTCGCGGATGTACGATGTCGAAAGGGGTTGGGGGG